TTTTTTTTCTTTTTGTTTCATACATATTTTGTCCATTTTATATTTAGGTACAGTTTAAAATCTGGGTATTTTTCCTGCTTTTCAATCAAAAATATCAAGACGATGACAACAAAATGACAATCTAATAAAACAAGTGTCTGCAGGTGTCTGAGTTCCTCCAATGATTTGTGCACAGAAACGATGCAATAACACAGTAGAAAAGGCTTCAAATAAACCCAATAATTGCGTTTCTCTCTCGCACAAACACACATAAAACACTTACAGAACACTTTCAGGGTAAATGAGCTGCAGGCGATTGAGCAAGGAACAACCCACCTTTATTCTACAGGCTCCATTAAACCAAGTGTGCATCGCGCTGCGGTAATGGCCGACATTAAAGGGTTTATGTGCTAATAATGCCGCTTTTCTCTCCTTAAGGAGTAACGAAGCTGCTGTAAATAAGTGCATTAAAGGCCTGACGAGATTTATTACTTAAAGATAAACCATTTGAAGCTTTGAGCTCCACGAGCCCTTCTTTCCCCCCTCTTTTCTGAGGTGCGCCTCGGATCAGCTCGTTTTGATGCTGTCTCTCCAGCTTCCACAACAGTCTATTCTAGTTTGTTTTTTTTTGTATTTTTTTATTTTTTTTTCCAAATTAAAGAAAAAATGTCAGCAAGGGAAAACTTGTCCATCCAGCCTTACATGTTGGAGGCAGAGTCTGACCCAGAGCCAGAGGAAAATGAGGATGACAGTTGGAAAGTCCAGACCTTATTTAGAAGTTCTGTCACACATTCGGACACAATAGTTCAGAAAATATCATRGAAARTATAGAAAATTCAATTAATTTGGTACAGAATACAAATATATGTACAGGATCMAAAATTTTCAGCTTYTMTSTAGAGAGGACAKACTGAGATGGTTTGGACATGTCCAGAGGAGGGRCAGTGTTGAAGGATGTTGCAGCTGAAAAAGACAGAGAAGACTAATTGATGCAGTTAGAGAGGACATGGAGGGTGTTGGAGTGAGATGGATGAGGATGGAGACCCCCMCTGAAGAGGAAACATCCAAAAGACGAAGATTTGTAAGTTTTTTTYCCTCCCATCACCATCAATGTGATGCTGAATAAGCAAATTTTCTCTGAAAGCAATGATTCTATGCGTCCACTAGAGGTCAGTGTTGTCAAACCTTTCTTTTGCCAGGAAGCAAATTAGAAAAGCTGAACACCAGAGGGGTTTAAATGAATGCAAAGTCATTTCTTTTTAGCTTCATACAACTTAATAACAATCATTATTTTAAAATATAATTTATAATAATA